AGTGCCCTGTCTGAGATGCTAGAGGAGGGAGAGTTTCTAGTGCTACCATCCCAGCTGCAAGGTCAAAACATTCTTTTTCCGAATGGTCCTGTTCTATGCAGTGAATAGGCACTGGGGTAATAGGGTGCTATACTTCAGTTACACTGTGGCCTGATCTGCTTGCATGGCCTTTTGTAGATTTGCGAACACTCTGCTGAACAATGTTTCTATAAAAATAGAAATGTGCGGCTGCCAAAAAACTCAGAAACACGTTAGAAGGTCATTCTTCAGTGATTTGAGGCAGACTGATGGTGCAATATTTTAAAGTTACCATAGCATACCAAGTTTTAAAATAAGTCATGTGCCCTACTTAACTCAGTTCCTCTCTATATTTGAGTGATCTTTTAAAATGATGAACATAAGTGAAACTAGAATGAACCCACCAATAGTTTTGAATTGACTGTGCTCCTAGTCCTACCATGGCTGGAGTGCCATTGTGTTCTCTACCAAATCTTATTCAGTCATTAAGATCTCATAAAACAACTATGGGACATTTGCACAATGGAATGCTACTTGGCCATAAAGAAAGAAGAAAATGTTTCCCTTTGCAATAGCATAGATGGACCTAGAGAACATTATGCTAAGTAAAATAAACCAGTCAGAGAAATACAAATACCATTCACTCATATGTGAAATCTAATGAACAAATTGAACTAACAAGCAAAATAGAGAGAGACTCAGATAGAGAGCAGGATGACAGCTAAGGGGTGGAGGAGGTTATAGAGTGAAAGGATTGAACAAAAAAGAAAAAGGACTCGTGGACATAGACAACAGTGTGTGATTAGGGTGGGAGGTATAAGAGAACTAAATGGTAATGGAAAAACATACAGTTAAAAATGCCATAAAAAAATCTCTTTCCTTTTTCTGTGATTTCTCCTTCTTTGAATATATATGGAATCCCTTTTATTAGGCAATGTCTTGTTCTGTAATTTTTTTTTTTAGTTTTATATTTTGAGATAGGTTTTAAATCCCATGAAGGTAGGAGTGTATTTTATGCTGTTTCTGCATTGTCAATACCATTTAGCTTAGCGTTCTGTGTCCAGATAAGAAGCTATGTTTCTTAAGCTGGGTTGAAAGCAGTATCACACAGTAAAAAAGGTACAGTTCTCCAAGAAGACATACAGTACTTATTGTACATGCACCTAACAATAAAATGTCAAAGTAAGTGTCATAAAATCTGATGAAACTGCATTGAGTAATAGATGAACCCACCATCATAGCTGGAGACTTAAACATCTCCCTATCAGTAATTGAGGAATCCAAGAGAAAGAATATCAGTAAGGACATAAATGTACAAAACAGCACCTCAATCAACTGGATCTCTCTGATATCATAAAATACATTATCTAACAACAAGAGAGTATCCATTCTTCTTAAGCTCACAGATAAGATTCAACAAGTTATATTACATTCTGGGCCATATCACATGCCTTAATTTAGAATAATAGAAATCATACAAACTCTGCTCAGACCACAGTGGAATTAAAGTAGGAAGAACAGAAGAAAAAAAAGAAATATTTCTGGAAAGATCTTAAAATATGAAGATTAAACAACATACTTGTAAATAACACATGGGTCAAAAAAGAAGCCTCAAGAGACTTCTAGCTTTAGCCATCCTTGATTGAAGCTTTAGTCGTTCCATTTGGGCTCTGGTTTGGATGCCGATATAAACTTTACTAGCTGTGCACCACAAACACTTTAATGAAAAATGTATTTACAAGTTAAACTCCCAGGCCCAAGATAAGTGGATCAGTCTTGATATCATAGAGACTGATCCACTTGTGGATCTTCACAAAGAACCACACACACACAAAAAAGACGTAGGTCAACTCAAGTGGACATCCACTTGAAAATGGTACCCTAGTCCCACATTCCAGCTGATATAGCTGTGGCCCAAGAGCTTGCTGCTGGAGATGACATCATCTCAAGTGACATCACACCAGCCCAAGATCTCATTATTGAAGATAACTTTGCCCTCTGTGCCAGGGAAGACTTTACCCTAAACACTCAAACCTTCAACCCAGCAATGGCCAAGGACTGCTTCTCCTAAGGTGCTGACAATTTGGATAGGGGACATTTATTGCTTTCTTTCTTTGATACTAAGGATTGCATTATGATTCTTGAGCTTACTTTCTACTTAGCCCATGGTCTTGGTATATTCCATGCTCTCTGCTAAAATGTACACTGTTGTAGACCGCTCTACCTGGTTCTAGGAATTGTATCTCTACCCCTTGTGGCTAAGGGCGAGGGACGGACAACCTTTGGAATGCCAGCTGCAGGAGATAAAGCCTGTCTCTGGTAGCAAATGCTGCCTCAGTTTCCTCTACCTGCACCCAAAGCTTGGTGGAAGTCAATGACAGGTAAGACCCCTCACACCAAGGGGGCAACCTAAGCCAAACTCGATCACTTGGGAGGCCTTCATGGAAGGACTCAGGGGGCTGCAACAAAGAGCAACGGACTCTCCCCGCCCCCCCCCCCGCCGGCTTTGACATAGCCCAAGTCCCCTTGTTCTCTGGGAGAAGTGCTTCCTGGCTCTAATCCCCTTAAGCATAAATACCTGATGGGGAGGGGTGCAGCTCCTTGCCTTGCTAGAGCGTGTCCTGGGGGAAAAATCTGGCACCACAAAGACTTCCGATAAACCTGTGAGATCTGCTCTGCTAAGAGTGCTTTCATTCATATGTTAAGGGTTCGAGCACCAAACCCTAAAACTCTGTTCCTGATAGACTCTGAAGCCCTCAAATTTCTTTGAAATGTTATCTACTGTTTGATCCTTGCCGCCCTGTATTCCTGTGTATTACAACCCAATAAAAGGCTCTGGAGAGGGGGCTTGAGGCCTTTTTCTCCCCAAAGAAACTGGCTGCTGCTGGCCTTTTTCCCCTGAGAAACTGGGGAAAGGCCTCACGGCCTTTTCCCTCTGGGAAAATGGCCTCTTCTCCCTAAGCAGATCACATCATATCTCTGTCATATTTACTCTCATCTGTGGCATGGGAGGGCAGGGGCAGGGCTTGAGAGGAACTTCGCCACCACAGTACACCACATTTTCCCCTACCTAAAGGGATATCTGGTAGAGTCACTACTATCAGTGTCATCCTAAAGTTAATAGAGATGATTGCTTTCCTCAGGAGGCATGAGCCTCATATCAGTCAACTCCTTGAACCCTTGAAGAAAGAACTTCTAATTTCCTAGTGCCTTCTCCTACTTCCTCTCCAGCCTTCCACCAAGGTCTCTGTAAGAGTCAAATCATCACAAAGCCAAATACATTAATCATGTCTTTTATTTTCCGTACTTTGATGCTCTGACATCTGGAAGCTTGCTGATTCTGAAAGGACTATCCCTCCCAAGGGTTAGCCAGTTCCTAGAGATAATAAATAACTTACTCCAAGAGCATAATTTTCCAATACAAACCAACCAATCCAGAGACCACACTGCAACCATCCAGTTTATTAGGCTCTCACACTCTGGGCCACTATCTACCTACCCTAATCTCCCCAGAACCAGGTATCAGACAACTAGACAGATGCCAGAGAGTCCCTATGTCCCAGAACTTGTTGAAATAATTTGCCCTAGCCAATCCTAAATCTGCTTTCCCTATTTCACCAATTTCTTCTCAAAGAAACCACAATAAGGGCTCTTATCACAACTCTGGTGCTTCCCTATGTGCCCCCCCATGGTGTGGCATGACCCCTTCTCCTAGGATATGCAAGTGTAATAAACTTCTTTGCAAATGACAGTCACCTGCTAATCTGTTGGCCTGCATTCTGAAACAGCCCTGTGTTTACCTTTCTCTTTGACAGGACTACTTGGCTTGAAAGTGAATGGCTTTCAGTCTGTAACCCCATTAGGACAGGAATGCTGTCCAGGCCCAGGTTCCTGGTACATGATAGGCATATAACACATGTATGATTCTTGAACTGAACTAAACTTATAGTCAGAGTTGGTCCACCCTCTTAGCCATTTGGAATTGTTCCCCTTCCTCTGACCCCATTCTTAAGCTACTGTGGCCGAAACCCCACGTGGCATTGCCAGTTTGAGTCTCCAGTGTGAGGCAGCATGTGGGAGAAACAGCAGAGGAATGGAATTTCACTGCTCTCATTTCCAGTTGGTTCTGGCAGGAGCTCAGAGGTTCTCATTACCTAGGTTATTTTATCATCCTCTGGGACTTAATTACTCATCTATAAAACAAGGCCTGTGATCTACGTATTTTCTGAGACAGTGCTATCTTGTAGAACTTCCTGTGGTGACAGAAGTCTTTTGTGGCTGTGCTGTCCAGTATGGCAGCAACTAGCCGTGAGCAGTGACTAAGAACTTGAAATGTGGCTCCTGTGACTGTGTGGGAAGCTTGACTCTAAGATCTCGTCCACCTTTGTGATATCACTTTCCTTGTGTTTCTTGTCTGCCATGAGCTGACAAGAGTTGCCTGTAACCCCAACCACTGAAAGTGCCATCCAAGCAAACAGCCCCTACTGCACCCCTACTTCTGCCCGGGTGGGAGGAGGCGAGAGGGAAGAGGACATCCAAGCAGGTGGAGGCTGCTGCATCTGCTCAACTAGTGGGAAATGTCTGTTTGGAACACAGACTCACCGCCATATAGGGACCTGCGCCCCAGGACACGTAAAAGTGGGAATGCTGCTGTGGCCGTGGTTCTCAAGTGGGGGTGACTTTGCCCTCAAGGAGATATTGGCAATGTCTGGAGATACTTTCTCATTGCCACAGATTATGGGGAGGGGGGATGCTATTAGCACCTAGTGGTCCAGGCCAGGGACGCAGTTAGACGTCTTACAATGCACAGGAGAGCAGCTCCTGGCCCCAACAACAAAGAATTATTCAGGTGCCTCAAATCTCAACAGTGCCGAGCCTGAGAAACCCTGATGTATTGCAATGCTTCCTCTATAACTGCAAATCACTGTATGTTTCTGGATTCCTGAAGCCGAAGTAAACTTTGAATAAATAAAATGGCTTACCTTTAGGACAATTTCATCAGTCGATTTTCTTTATGAACTAGAAAAAAAAAGACATCAGTTGGTACGGTTTTCCAATACAGTTTTATCTGAGTTGGGCCAAATGCAAATAGCAATATATGAAGTAAAAAAGGAATCAGTCATAATTTGTTTGACTATATTGACCAACCAAAACGATCTTATATGAAAGAGATATTTTTCCACTTTGTCCTTTCATAAGTGTGGCTTGCTTTTCCTATTCGTGTATATATGTATGCATATATTTGTACATGTTTTTAAATGGGCTATAAATTTTAATTCCAACTTGGCTGTTAAAATGCAACTTTGAAGAGAGTTCAAATGGTGGTGTAGGAAAACTGTGAACTTCCTTCCTTCCGTGATACAACAAATCTACAGCTACATATGGGATAATTTTCCTCTGAAGAGGACCTGAGAGTTGGAAGAATAGCACCTACACAACAAAAGAGAAAAAAGATGCACAGAGAGAAGTTCTGTCTTGCCTGGTGCTCCACCTCAGCTGCAGTGTCCCATAACTGGGAGAAAAAAATTTAAAAATTACAGAACTTCCCCTCAAGGAGTAAAGGAACTGTGTCACATTAGCTACACCAACCATTGGGTCAGGCACTAGAGACACAGACAACCAAAGTGTCTGGTCTTGAAAATCTGCGGGGATTAAGCCCAAGAGAACCACAGAATTGTAAGGAGAACCCACTTTTAAAGGGCCCATATACGGACCCCCTTACTCTGAGATCCAGTGCAAAAGCTTTGAAAAGCGTCTAGAGCTAAGTGAGGGAAAATCACTTACTAAACTTAAAGCGGCTGCTGAAGAGGCAGAAACCTGCTGGCACTTTTTCTGGGGGTAGAAGAAAGGGGCACCAGTCTTCCTGTCTTCAAACCACGCTTCATGTTTAAAGAGCTTTTTCTACAACACAGATCATGTCATTACGTCACTCTCTTGCTAAGAATCCTTCAGTGATGATGCACCTATTGAGACAAGAGCAGCTTTTTCACTTAGCAACAGGCTTCTCTCTCTTCTTCTCTGGCATTATAGTCAATCCTCATCATTCAGATTCCATATTGGCCAGCTTGTCTACTCTGTAAAATGTATTTAACCCCCAAGTCAATACTCTGTGCATTTATTCACAGACATGCACCCAATCTCTCAGACCCATTCTGAACCTCTTTCAGCCATGCCAAGCAAGACACACTGGATCTATGGGTTCTTTCCCACTGAGACCAGCTAGGCAGAGAGATCAGAGACTGACGCAACACAGGGGACTGGGGAAGAAAACCAGTTTCCTCAGTCTTGAGTGGGGGTGCCAACAGGTGCCCCCCACTTCCCAAACCCCTCTGGCCTCAGTGCAAGCTAATCAGCTGCGGCAAAGGTGGCTGTGGAGAGGAACCTTGGAGAATGGGAAAACTGCTTTTTGACCTGTTCTGAATTTTCTCAGTCTCACCAAGCTACACTAGACCTCTGAGTCCGTTCCCAGTGAACCAAAAAGTTGTGCATCAAGGGGTTTACTGGGCTATGCCCAGTTCGGCTAGCAAACAAACCAGGGGCTGTGGAGAACAGAGAGGTTTGAACTATGTCTCATGCAAAGGCAGTGGGCTGAGAGTTAGATGGGCAAGAGTTGAGCACCTGAGATTTTTGGCAACCAGGCAGGAACCCCACACCCCCATAGAGTACAAACCTCTGGGAAGGGAAAGGCCCAACACCCTCTTGCAGAATTTGCAGACACCACATCTAATGGGAAGACTCTGCTGAAGAGTCTTGCCAGGCTCAAGATCCCCTTGCTAGGTGCATTTCCACAGGGGAAAGTAAGATAAATTCCAAAAGGGCCTTTCTGAATTTTTCTCAGCCCAATCAGTCACACTGGTTCCCCAGGTCCTATCGCACTAAAACAAGCTGGGCAGAGAGAGTAGAAATTGGAGCAACAGGAATATTCATGGGCCCTACTCATCTTTGGCTGTTATATGGAGCTGCATCAGTGCCAAGCAGGAGAGAGCAGGCCCTTTTACACAGGTCGGTCCCTCACATGAAACAGAGAAATAACTAATCAGAAACTATACATTATTGGAAATAATATGGGACAGTACAAGATGTGTGGCCCAGCACTGGGGGAACACAGCTAACATCTTCCCTGAAGTATGAACAGTGCCTCCCAGGGGAGATCTAGGGGTCCTATCCTCCTGATTGTACCAGAAGCCCTTTCCGAAACAGATGGGTCAGTGGTGAGTCTAAGACTAATGGCAGGACTGCAGATAGAGTCAGGTAGGGGTGGTACCTGCAGTGCTTCCCACCCCTGGGCCTTGTGCTGACAAAAAGCCAGCAGTGCAGAGCAGTGAGCTCCATCCCAGATGCATCCATGCCTGAAGGAGACATCCACAGACTATAGAACACTTGTAGCCTCGAGCAGGCTGTCTAGAATTAATAGGAACAGCATCTGACATTACCAGAGACATATCCAGCAGGAGAAGCTAGCAGGCAAACACTAAACTCTGCTGAGATAAATTACCCCTTGTTTTTTCTCATCATTTGCAATAATTTTTCTTTCTCATAGCTTTTAACATTTTTCTTTTTTTCAATTTTGTTCCTATTTCCTCAAGAGTTTTTTCATTTCAAATCCCATATTTTACACTTGTCTGTTTTTACTCCATTTTGCCTTCTTCCTTCCCCTTACTATTTTCATTTTAAATTGTTTTCCCCTTTCTTTGCGTCGTTTCTATTCTTTACTCTTCTTATTTCTCCTCCCTATGTCTTCTCAAAATCATATTTTCTCCCTTTAGTCACCTCAATTTTTTTGAGATAATATTCTTATTCTTTCCATCTTTATTAATCTGCCCATTTGTCAGAGATATTGCTGCTACTGCTGTTTTTCCTCAATTTTCACGATTTTTTAATTTCAAACCTCATAGTTTACTCTCCCCTTTTATTACTTCACTTTGCCTTCTTCCTTCTGTTTCTTCTTTAAATTTTAAATTTCTTTTTTTTCCCTTTCTTCTCCTTGTTTCAATTCTACACTATTGTGATTTGTCCTCCTGTTACACTCTCAAAGTCATTTTTTTTTCCTTTGGTCATCTCATACTCCTTTTTACTTTCTCACAAAATTCTTACTCTTTTTCCACCTTTATTCATCTTTGCTCATTGACATTGATGGTGTCGTAGGGTGGGAATTTTTCTGGTGTGTGTTTTATTTTCTGTGTCGTTTTGTCCTGTCAGCTCTTATACAATAGCATGCAAGACATGGTCGGGGGTGAGACTTGCAGTCAGCCAGCAGAAAGGATAACCAACCAGTGAATGAGCCAATAACAATCAAAACCCAAATACAAAAGGAAAGCCCACATGAACTGCATAAAGGGTACCCCTAGAGCATCCAGCTCAGGAGATCAAGGAGGCTATACCACTGAGTCTAAGAGAACTTCTAACCCAGAAGTCCACCCCATGAAGACAGAGATGTGTGGTGGTATCTCAATAAGATTTTAATTTTCATTTGCATGATTATTACATCACAGATTTACCAAAAACTTGTAAACCTCACTTCACCTGTTTGACATGAAATAACTACTGCTTTAGGGTTTAAGTTGCCCAGTGCTTTATATATTAGTAAGCTATAGAATAACTTGCTGGACTTTAATAATTATTAACTGTCATTATTATTAAATACAGTCATGTGCCACTTAGCAATGGGGATATGTCTGAGAAATGTGCTGCTAGGTGATTTCATCCTTACATGAACATTACAGCATGTACACACACAAACCTAGATAGTACATCCTACTGCCAATTGAGAGACTATGGTAGAGCCTACTCCTTTCTAGGCTACAAGCCTGTAGACCACATTACTGTACAAAATAGCATGAGATTAAATCAAGTGCAAGAAAAATAACACAATCAAGAGATGTAGTAAACTAAATGTATGAGGCTGCTACCAGCATAACACAGCTTACTGTTTTACAGAAAACTTCAGTAATGATAAAAAGTATAGTATAGTAAATACACAAAGTAACAATAAAAAGTATAGTACAGTAAATGTATAAAACAGTATCAGTCCTTTATTATTATTATAAAGTATTAGTACTGCATATAATTGTATGTGCTATACTTTTACAAAACTGACAGTGCAGTAGGATTGTTCACATCAGCATCACCACAAATGTGATTAAAGTTTGTGCTATGACATCACTAGGTGATAGGAATTTTCAGCTCTGTTATAATCTTATGGGACCACCATTACATAGGTGATTCCTTGCTTACTGAAATGTTGTTATGCAGCACATGGCTAATTAGGACCCCAGTCCGTGGGATCTGTTTGTTGTGCCTGCAACAAACAAATTCACATGGACCAGAGAAGTTCTGTGGAGAAAAAGGGACGGTGTGGCTGTTGTCTAAGTGAGAGAGAGGGCCTAGACAAGTTTCTATTGCTTTTCTGGGTACATTACATTGAGGATGATCCTCATTTACTATGTACAGGTTCACTGTAGGTGATTAACTTTTACAGATAACAAAGGAAAGAATGTTGCTAATTACTTCAAAGAGAAGGATGTTGCAGATCAAGGGGAAAAGTGGTTGACCTGGTTACACTCCATACTTGGGAAGTTTAGCACAGATTTTAGGAAAGTTACTTTAGAAATATGCAGTAAACATTTGCTGCCTCAATCCAGAGTGAAAGAGTTTTAGCAAAAGCAAGCCTCATAGCAGCGTAGGTACAATGCAGGCCTGATTCCCCACATGAGAACTTGTCCATGGGTTTGGCGCCTGTTTGCCAACCTCACTCCCCATCACTTTTCCAAGTCAGGGGCTGGGCTACATTCACCATGCCACATGGACAGGTTCCCTATACATGACTGCACGAGAACAGATTACCACTATAAAACTAAAGTATATGTTTATGGCAGTCTATTTGAGTCTTACATTTTACTAGTATGCCAAATATTTTATTTCATAATAAATGTGTTATCCGAAGACAGACTCCAACAACCCTTCTACTGGAGCAGGCAGGAAGCTGCCCAGACAGGGAACTCTCTGCCTGCGAGTCAGTG